ATATCTTACGAAACTGTTCGCTAAGCTTCCTTTACGCTCCTTTCCAACTTTATCTGGTCTGTGATTTGATAACTTTAATGTCTACGCCGCATTTCGAGAGTTTTCGAGTTTTTATAAATTAAACAATGTATTAAACAGCCAACATTTTAGCTTTTTAATTTCCCATAGATCAGTTTATTCAAGGTCTAGCGACCTAGACCGAAATGTGCTGCATATATTTGGGTCGCAGTCCATCAACCACTACGGGATAACCGTGTAATATATGCATGCTTCCAGCGGGAAACAGTAGCATAAATTAATATTATAATATACAATACGGACAGCACAGATGCTAGGCAAAAGCCCAGACACGTGTTTCGTCGGTATTCTTCCGCTGCTTGAAACAGTTCCGAGGGGTCCGGCTCATCAGTGGATCCTCCAGCTTTCTCTGTTTGCTTTCTGGTTGATATGACCGTTCTGAAGGTTCAGCTTTTCACCTCACTTAGAACTTAATTCCAGTGCTTGGTATGAATCAGTTTATTCAAGATCTACAGACGTTATCCCATCCTGGCTGCATAGAGCCCAATTGGGCTTTTACCCTGAATGAATGAAGTCGTGTCGATCACCGAAATCATATTTTTATTAGTCCGGTGATCGACACGGCTTCTTCTTCTCAATCTATATACATACCTGGAATGCGAACATTTGCCTGAATTCATGAATGAAGTATCTTTTATCGCAAGGAGAATGTGAAGTTCGCATAAGATGCAGCACAGACGTGACTGGCGTCGGTGCAAATTATTGGAAACCTAAAATTCCTGGAAATCAGCTGAACTGTGTCTAATAAATGGCTTGTAGTTAAATTTAAAAAAATCAAGTGGTACTTGGGGTAATATTTTATTGGTTAGAAATAGCAGTTTTTCCTTGGGACAATCAGGAAGGCCGAAAGCGTGAAAATTCGCATCAAAGGAGTGAACTTGGTTTTTGAAAGCTTCTGAAGCCTATTAATGTAGACGAGTTAGTAAAGCTAGCATAATAAACACGTCATTAAAAAAACACCTTGATCATCACTGTAAATATGCTACAAGAATTGGAGTAATATATAATATTGCAATGCGGTTTTTATTGCTTAAAAACGAGTTTACGAGAACTGGCTGTAATTTTTCGTTTTTACCCTGTTCTAAATGCGGTTGACTACGACGATTAGGATGTTGTCAATAGGGTCGTTGAAAATATTTGAAAAAAATCATGTACTGAGAGGTCGGAATTTTATTGTGCGCTTTCTGTCGAGTTTCCTGGCGTCGTTCTTGACATTTCAGTTATTGATGTTTTTCGTTTACGGTATTCTCAATCGATTGTCTAAAAATAGCACCTGTGTCGTTTCTGTTTATAAAAACATCCAGCATACAGTGCACATAATGCAAGCATGTTTTCTTCTAACTCATCTTGCAGCGAGGTTACTTCGCTGATGCATGCCCACATTCTCCATCTTTTCTTCAAAGAAAGTTTAGGAGAAAAATTAAGCATTCTATCCGCTTGTGCGCTTTTCTGCTAGATATTGATAAAATTCCTGTCACTGGCGAAAAATCACCTTTTCCTTCAACATTGCAGTCGTTTTTTACTTTGTAGTAGCTTACTTTCGGGTTTTCTTCCTCGAGTATATATTCTCTTAGAGTGGCCATATACATATATACTAAAATAGTAGTCGCAGTGCGGCTGTCGTCGAGGATCCATCGTGGCCCACAAAGCACAACGGGACGAGTATATTTCATAACGGGATCGGTGAGCGCGCCACAATCATTGTTACTGTCCCTCCATCGCAACCAACAGCACAACCAGTTCGTGGCTTAACGGCTAAGGCAGGTGAAAGTTAAGTTGGTCGCCCATCTTAAATTCCCCTAGCCCCAGAATTTTGTCTTACGGGACCGGTGGTATTGGCGTAGTTTATTAGTTTAATTTAAGCTTTATCGTAGTGTCGTTTTTAGTTTTTTTTAAGTTTAGATTAGTTTAGTGTAGTATATAGTAGCTATTTACGTATATTTATTTAACTTTGACGTTATTTAACTAAAGTAAAAACGAAAGTAAACTAATAAACATAAAATTAAATTAAACTAAAAATAAAAGTAAAAATAAAATTAACCACAGGAGTAGGGGCTAGGGGCATCTAAAATTGTCGACAAACTTAAATTTTAACGATTATGAGCCTTTTCGCGATTATTTGTAGTCTTAAGAATCTACATTTGAAGAAATCGAAAATAACCGAATTTAAAAAAATAACCTCGTTATGCCCATTTTGTCTTAGGCGCATAAAAAACGGGCTTCAGGTTGGCCACCCTGGGTTTGAAATTTTTTTCCAAATGTCCTTCCACACCCGGGATTGACAATGGCTGGCTGATGATGGCTAATGAGCCAGAAATTGTTATATCAGTCTCTCTTTTCTCTGTCTCTTGTACTAACAAAACTCGTGCCAACCAGTGTTGCAGGTATTTTCTCAAAACGGACACGGACAGAAGTTCACTTCTTCAGACCGCAAGTCTGCCTAAACGGATAAGAAGAAGCCGGTTTCGGATTTCAACTCCGGTTCAGTAGCACATAGGTCTGGTTTTATGATAAGGAGCAGGATATGCCATTATTACAGTATAT